CTTTACCGAGGAGGGTTGCTAGAAGGCAGTAAATCTTCCAAAGCCACTAACTGTACAACACTACAATACAGTAACTCAACTTTCCAAGTTACCTGGATTTCTATTCAGAATTCAGCCAGCATGAAGGAGGCCAAGATATAGGCTTTACGCATGCATAAATGTCAATTCAGCACAGCTGCAAAACACAGCTCCACCAAACTACAGAAGGGAGGAAGAGTAGAAGAGCCTAACTTAGTTTTAATTCAGATCAGCGTCTGTTCTAGTTCATTACTGTCACACAAATGCTTACACCAACAAGGAATTAAGTGACCAAAGCAGCTTCTTTTGTCAGCAGTGTTGAGTTCACATCAGCATAAGATAATCAAATCTCTATATAGGTACAACATATAGATCTAAAACCTTGGGGGGGGGGGGGGTCTCTGAACAAGCGGCAGGCAGTAGAGTTGTAACAAAAAGCAATTCATGATCTACTTATACAAATGGCCTCTTAATAATTGAAGCCATTCAAGAGCAGTCATCACTATATGACGAGAAAGATGTATGATGATAGGGATTCCAGATAGGAAGGATATGAGGTAACTGATGTATTAGAACGGGGCCACGCTACGCAAATAGATGTAAGTACAGCTTGTAACCCTCAGAAACGAGTGAGGTCTGACACAAGTGAGTTTGTATGAATTAAAAGTGGTTTAATCTGCTCAATCACTTGTGCCTGAATTCAGTCGGGTTACCATCTTTGTTTCTCATATGGCAAAACACTCCACCAAAACAGAGACAACGCGTGCTTTCGTCCAGGAGTTACAATTTTAACATACAGTTCTGATTCTGCCTTAAGTCATTACTGCTTACCTTGCAGAGCATTTTATAAATGAAAAAGCAATAGAAGACATTCTTATTCCATATGGTAGACTACTTTTTCTACTTAGTATGACAAAAAAGCCAGTAAGAAGTTCACCGCTTTATCATCCAGCTTTTTAATGCAGCATTTAGACACGGATGATGACCTTTTAGTTGCATCAGATCCAGGCTAGTGCCTCTGCGGACACAGCTATAGCCAGCAGGTGCAGAATACTGAAGTATGCTCTTTAGGAGTTAAAGGAACCAAAAGGGCAGAAATGCCATGCTGACTGGATATAAGTCCTGCCAGGTGTGGAAGCATTACACAGCACCATTGGGTGCTGTGCCCCAGATTATAAACACTTAAGTACATGAGCTAAAGACTACACCCAAGATCATGCAAACATGGTATACTGCTTCTAGATCCAAGCTCCTAAGTCATCGTGATGTTGCACAGCATTATGGGACTTACCAGTTCAGAGATTATCAAGCACAGACTGCCTGCAAACATGAGTATTTACCAAAGAAAAAAAGTGACAGCTGGTATCACTGCAACATACTGTCTACCTAATGTGCTATAAACTATTTTAAAATTAGCAAAAAAACTTCTTACAGAAAGTCATTGAACATACAAGGAACTGAAATACAAACAAGACAAGTTAAGAAACTATGCTAACACAGGAAGACTAATGAATACTATTGAAATATGCCTTTAACACTTCCAAAGATGTTTTGTTTACAATTGGAAACTCAAATTTTTTACATCTTAAATTTAACTGTGTTAAATATATTTAGTTTTGTCCAATCCCATTTTAGATGTCAGTTACCTTCTGAAAAGTTTTTGCAAGCTACAGCCTAAACCCCAAATAACCGTAAGATTCAGCTGCACCACTTCATTATGGAAAGATAATTAAGTTTCCTGTTAAGCTCCAGCCACTTATTCCATTCAAGCAGAACTAAATAGTGATATCCTCTCCCCTTCTAGAGCATGTTAAACAAAAATCTATCCATCCTTCATTTCTGTCTTCCTATTAACCTTTCCTTTCAAATAAAAAGAACGCTTGAGAACACACTGACCGAACTTAATGGGTAGAATACACAAAAAGGAAAAAAAAAAGGATGATAGTAGGATAAAAACTAATAAAGATTAAGTAAATTTCGCCAATAACTAAATCAATTATGATTCTGCACCTAAAAACAAAAACTTATTTGTATTACAGTCTACCTATATTGAACAAAAAGTTCATTTTTACTGTTTTTTCACAAGACAGGTAGTACAAGCATTTTGACAGAAACATGCTGAACACGTCCTTCGTCAGACGTCACATGAAGGAGTACAGCCCTCTGGGGAAAACACTGTAAACTACCAGCTGGCAAAAAGGACAACGGTAAGAAACTTTAGCTTTCCCCTCGCTTCTAACAGCGACACGACATGCCGCTGCAAGAAAGTCACCTCACCCACAGGACTTAAGCTTCCCCATTCATAAAACATCCTCCTCCCTCGCAGACAAAGCGCGAAGGTGCTCCCAGACTGACAGCGGAGCCAGACAGCCAACTTACACCAGCCCTGCAGGACCCTTACGCACGGCAAAACCCAGCGTGCCCAACTCGGGGCCCGGCGCCTCCTCCTCCGCCACGGCGAGGGAGGCAAAGGCGGCCAACCTCTGCCCACAGCCTCGCGGGCGGCCCGCTGCCGAGGCCGCGCAGCCCCGGGACGCGGCCCCCGCCGCCCAC